AGGGGGGGGGGAGGCGGGAGCTGGAGCGGGAGCTGGAGCGGGCCCTGAGGTCCCGCACCGTCGAGGTCTCGGTGGGCGGCTTCCAAGGCAGGAAGGTCTCCGTGTGGGAGCTCCTCTTCTCCAAGTACGTCTCCGAGGCGAAGAGGCAGGAGCTGCTGGGGAAGCTCCGGGACGGGAGCCTGACGCTGGACGAGCTGGCAAGGCTCATCACCGTCCTCATCGAGGAGACGGTGGAGAGGAGCAGCAACGTGAAGTTTGCGGGCCTCAGGAGGCAGGTGAGCGCCTCGGACCTGATGGACTCGGGAATCATCGACAAGGACACGCTGGCCGACCTCATCCAGGGCTCCAAGACGGTGAAGGAGGTGACGGAAATGGACTCCGTCAAGCGCTACCTGGACGGCACGGGCTGCATCGCCGGAGTGCTGGTGCCGTCCCAGGCTGACCCTGCCAAGATGGAGAAGATGAGCATCTACCAGGCCATGGAAAGGCATCCTGAGGCAGGGCACGGCCCTGGTGCTCCTGGAGGCGCAGGCTGCCACGGGCTTCGTCATTGACCCGCTCAAGAACGAGAAGCTCTCCGTGGACGAAGCCGTCTCCTCGGGGCTGGTGGGCAGCGAGCTGCACGAGAAGCTCCTGTCGGCAGAGCGAGCCGTGACGGGCTACACCGACCCCTACACCGATGACCAGATCTCCCTCTTCCAGGCCATGAAGAAGGAGCTCATTGTCAAGGAGCACGGCATCCGCCTGCTCGAGGCCCAGATCGCCACCGGCGGCATCATCGACCCCGTGCACAGCCACCGCGTCCCCGTGGAGGTGGCCTACCGGCGCGGCTACTTCGACCAGGAGATGAGCCAGATCCTCTCCGACCCCACGGACGACACCAAGGGCTTCTTCGACCCCAACACGCACGAGAACCTCACCTACATGCAGCTCCTCCGCCGCTGCGTCCCCGACCCGGACACTGGTCTTTATTTGCTTGAAGTTTTAAGGAAATGATTGTAATAGCTTTTTGATTTTGGGATTTGGGAATCTTTCTGTCATATATTTTTTCAGTATTCACCCATTACATATGGTTGTTTTTCTGCTGGTATGTTTCTATAATAACTTTAATCCTTTTTTTTTTTTTTTTGCTTATTCTAATACATTTTGGATTATTTCCTCCGTTTTCTTTTTCTTTGACTTTCTGCACAGTAGTCATATCTTTTTTGTGGCTCACATGAGCATTGTGGTTTATAACATTATCCCTTCATCTTCTACAGGCTTTTCAGAAACGCAAGACTTCGCCTGAGTTTTCTGATGTCATTTTTGCTTTGAATTTTGCCCTCAGACATCTGTTTTTCCTCATCCTGCCTTACATGGAGGGACATCTTTCACAGTATGTGAGGGACAATGTGAATAGTATTTATATTCTCCATCTAGTCTGTGTTCTCATATGGGAAGAAATTTTTCTTTTTAGCAGATTTGAGGGGCATTGTTAGAGCTGAAGATATGCACGCCTGAATAACACAATGAGGTCAGGTTTCAGTGTAAGCATTACATCAGGCTTGTGTTAGGTGTTACTGGAGTGGGTTACATTATCTCTTTTTTTGCTGTCTCAGTGTTTCTAGTTACTCTGGGAGGCCCTAGACTACATGTGGTTTGGCCTATCATTTATATGCACACTCAATTCACTCAAATTTTGCATTTCCCCTCCCTTTAACTCTGCAGGTCTTCAGCACCTCTTTAAAAATGTATTCTGTGGGATCCATGCAAGAGCTAAGAGACCTTAGCATACATTGTCATAGGCTATGTCTCTTCAAAACTCTCCCAATATCCAGCCAGCAATAAGGGAAACCAGGAAAAAAAAGAAACAGTTACCTCCAGCTGAGAATTTTGGTGCATTTCTCCGATCTTCTTGCCATTCTACATCCTGAGCTAACTTCCCCTCTCCCATCAGGCACAGCCCATACGCCACATCCCTAGAGAGGAAACAGCTTCAGAATCACTTTGCTGTAAAGCACAGTCAAGGATAAATAATTCTGCTACTGTTTTATAAAAGGTAACTTACTATCTTGAAATACATTACCTTTGGCTATTTACCTTAACTAACCCAGCTATATGCTGGAAAAAAATGGATTTTTCACCACAACTGTTATGGGTAATAGTTGAAAACAAATGTAGTTTATCTGCAGAAATCCTTACCAAAAACTGTGTGTAGTCCAGAAATGTGAATAGGCTCAAAAAATGATTGGACAAATTAATGTAAGAGAAATCTATTGAGGGCTGTTAAATACAAAGACACATCTTTGTTGCAGGAAGTCCCTGAGTCACAGGTTGCTAAAAGATGGAAGACAGTATCAGAGAGGTATCACTACAGGCTTGCCCTGTTGTTATATACTTAACCCAGCTCTGATGTTGGATAAAGTTGGCCGCAGTATAGTGGAGACTTGGACGTTTGCTCTGGTGTAACTGCTATTGTCCTGCCACCATCTGCACTCTGATAATGGGGAAGCATGGGAGAAGCAGCAATTTACCCAAAGTGCCAGAGTGGTGTCAAGGGGAAGGATCTCAGGCCTCACCACATTTGGTGTTGGGGTTAGTCTAGCTTCTGCCCATCAATCTGTCCTGCAGATACTGTAGTATCATCGCCAGAGAGCCTTGATGATTCAGGCCTGTGTAAACCAAAAGACATCTTATTTGTCTTCCAGACTTCTGCTCTTTTCTGGAAATGGATTAGAAAATGCATTAGCCAAATTCAGGAGAATGGTCCATCTGTATCTTCTATACACATTCATCTTGTGCTGTCTCCAGATCAGGGAGTTCTGCATATTGCCAGAATACATGTGTGTCTGATAAGGAAAAGATCCCATCATACCTTCCTGATTTCCTTTTATTTTTAACTTGAAAGCCCACTACTGGCTGCTGTATGAGACAGCACACTGAGCTGGATGGGCTCTTGCCCTGGTCCAGTACAGTCATTCCGATGTTCCTTTGCACTCCTGTTTCCTTTGGACTGTTTCCTTTGGACTGTCTCCTCTTGTTCAATCTCTCTAGTTCCACATCTTTTCACCTGTACCACTCTTCTCATCTGACCTGATGCCTTCACTCCTGCTCCCTACATGTCCCACTTGCCAGCTGCCTTTTTCATTAGCTTAGGCCTTGCTAACAAAGCCATGGCGACCGAGCAGTCCCTGTGAAACTGTGTGGGTGCCTGCTATCCTCAAGCTGTTCACTCTCCAACTGTGTTTTATCTCTTCCCTTTTCCAAGGTCTATTTTCTGGCAATAAGCTCTTCCTGTTAGCTGCCCTGTGTGTGTACTGAGCCTAACATTATAGGGCCATTTCTTGATGGGCTTTTAGGTCTTATATAGCTAACTAAAAGCCATTATAAACACCATTAGTTATAACCTCTGGGGAATAAAAGATCCATATTGTCATATGCACCACTGTAAGCCAGGCATTGTACATCACACAGTTGTACAGAGGTCAGGGTTTTCCATACAACCACATTCTGAGGCATCTGCTAGATAGGCTGGAAAGTATTTGTAATGTATCTACTAGAATGTACAAGAGAAAAGAAATTAAGAGCAAAGCTCAAAGTATTCTGAGATGTAAATTGAGTGGCTATACAAATCAAACTCAATCTATTAGAGCTCTTCATTTAAGGGGTGGTGATTAGATGGAGCCTTTCTTCTCTTAAATATATTTCAAGTTGCACAGTCTTCTCACACATACAGGTTTTCCAGTGAGGTTCTGTAATCTCTGCTCTTACAGATACTCATAATTCAATGGGCAAGCCCCTAAATCATGATGACCATTGCTCTGGATTCAGACTCTTTGCCCTGGGCTGGGGTGCCATCTGCAAATGGGCAACTCTTCCTCAAGCTTGGCTGTTATCACCTTGTGGCACTGGAGACATAAAATAAGCCAATCTCATGCTGAGATTAGGAATGAAAAGAGGATAGCACAGGATGAAAAACATGCACTAGGGAGAGGAAGGCAGAGTAGGGTATAGCAGTGTGTCACCCAGGGTGCCTGTGGACCTGGTGCTGAAGCTTGGTTGTCTTCCCCACTGTGGTGCTCCATATTGCCCAGTGACTGCAGTCTGACATGAATGCACTGCCCCAGAGCAAAGCTTTTCACCAGGAAGCCTTGGAGATCCGACCTGCCTGCCTGGCTCATGAAGTCTCCTGCATTAGGACTCCAGAGGGACATTAGGAACAGTGGGATAGGTGTGTGCATGGCCATTTCCCTATTACTTAGCTCTGCAGTCATTGCATTTTGCCCTCCGGTTTGAGACACTGACTTCCTGTTACAGCCTTGTTGCTTTCACAGCCAGGAGCCCTCTTCATCCAGGCCAGAACAGCCTGCAGCTCTTCTCTCTCCTTCCAGCTTTCATCGTCAGCTGGCAGTGCAGCAAAGGGCAAGGGGGCCACAGGCTGTGGGTGGAGTAGCTCAGTGCTCTCTTCAGCTGGTTATTGACAAGCAGTACTAAAGTCCACCCGTGGGTGGAGCAGCCTTCCTGGTCTGCATGTCAGCCCTGCCTGGGGTGGAGGCTGTGGGGCAGGGTGGAGTTAGCAAGCAGCCTGGTTAAGGACAGTCAGAACTTCCTCAGGCAGAGGAATGGAGGCTTCCACAGCCACATGGGCCATCATGGCTCCCTTCAAGGCAGCCATGCACTTGACGAGCCAAGAGGTAGCAACATCTGTGGTAAGAAGTGCCTGTTCTAGCTTAGACAATGAAGCCTAACAGGTATGTGACAGTGGTGATGGTCTTGTCTTCAAACGTTCTTGATGAAGAACTCAGAGAGCGAGCTGAGACCAACCAAACTTTGGTGCTTGTGAGCCAGAGTCACATCATGACTTGCCTGCAGGGGGTGGGGTGGTCGGATCTCAGGAGGTTTCTGGACAGGCTCATAGTTAAGTGCTGGGGAGAAACCTGTGACCACAGGCCCCCACACAGAGGAAAGTGGAGGTTCTGGCATTAACATTTAGGCTTTAGGCAGGAAGGTAAAAGCCAGGGCGTCCATGATAGCATTCTCCAAAAGGTCAGACAGTGAAGCAGAGACATAAATTCATAAGATGGGGCTGAGAAGCTAAAAAGATGTTGTCACAAAAGTATTGTATCTTTATGTGAAGGAGAGGGCAGAACGAGCATGATTCAAACATAGTGAAAACTAGCATGGAGAACAGGAAAAGGGAAGAATAGTTTGAACAAGTAGAATTTTTTTTAAACACAAGACAGAAAAAAAAAAGAGAACCAAGATAAATATAAGAAAAAAGGTTGAGGAACTAGAATATGTCTTCTTAAATAAAATAGTCATATGTCATAAACTTCTTGGAAGGGCGTACACCAGGAAAACACTGTAGCACCAAGGTATGAAGTGCATAGGAACAGCAGAGGAGGCTGTTCATTGAAAAGAGCTTAGAGTGAGATCAGACAGTCATTAACTACACTGATAGGGAATACACAACCCAGGCCTGAAAGACAGCGAGAGTAGGGCAGATGAGGAAGATGAGCAGACAGACATGTGGGGCAATGGCTCTCTATGCAGAGACTGAGCTAGGTAAGCAGTGTCTTCTGCAGTCAGGAGGAAAGGCAGCTCCTGAGCGGGGACGTAGGAGGGGGGGCACATAAATATAAAATGTCATGACACAGGCATGAGTGTTGCTATTCTCATAAGAACTAGGCTGCGGGGTTAAATCAACTGTATTTCTTCACACAGCTAAACTGGCAGTTTCTCCTGGGATGTCATAGAAACAAGAGCTACGAATGGTTAAAGGAAAGAAAGATCAATACAAGTGACCTCTTAGTATGAGAGTCACCAGTGGAGCCCAGAGGGACCCATGCTGAAAAGCTTGGCTGTTTAACACATGCAGACATGGTCTGGGAAACGATGTGACCAGTGAATGAACAGATGGTATTAAATTTTTCAGGTTAGTGAGGACAAATGCCAGCTGCAAAAACTGCAGGAAGACCCAGCAACATGTAGTGACTGGGATAAAAATGGAAGATGAT